CAATTATTATTTTTTCTTAATAATAAAATTAAATAAAATTAATTTTTTAAAACTATATTATATTATCTTAATAATTTAATAGAAGACCATAACCACATCTCTTAAAAAAAGATGACAAAAGAGAAAAATAAGACAGTACATGCAGTATCTTGATGATAAAATAAATGTAAACAATAATTTTTGGAGTGATGGAGGGTTTTTATTTTTTAATTTTTGTCGCAAATAAAGAAAATTTTATTCAAAGTGTTTAAGGGATGCCTAACCCATTTACATTAGAGTTAACCCATTTACATATGAGTCAACACATAGCTCCATATCACAATGCGTTACTTTTGAGATTCCCCACCATATATAGGAATGCAGTTCATACCCTCCATGAATTTACAAAACCAAACAAGGGAGGGTTTGGGTGATGAAAGTTTGGACATAGGTCTATTTGTTTATGTACTTCTATATATATATATATATTTTTAAGTATGATCAAGAGAACAAGTTGATAAGTTTATCCATTATTGTAGACTTTTGTTGGACTCTCTACCAATTGCAAATCACCTTACTAGAGATTGGATATTGGATTATCAAGATTATAAATGTGTTTAAAGGCAAACAATTATGTATTCTACATGAAAAGATGGCAACAGAGAAAATGGGGCTACAAACGTTATATCTTGGGTATAAAAAAAATGTATACAATAATTTTTGGGTGAAGAAAGTTTGGATATTGACATATGTAACTGTGAAAATTTAAGATATATATTCTAATAAAAAAATGAAACAATACATAGCTTCTCAAAAATAAAAATAATGTAAACAACTAGTTTTTGGATGATGAAAGTTAGCATATTAGTATATTTGTTGCCGTGCTTGTAGTTGTCTTCATTCTAGGGATGATAAAGAGGCTTGATTTGATTGATTATTATTAAAGGAAGATAGCCACTATATATTGATTTTAGATTCTAAATCATTTTTAAATTACCCTAACTATCAAGAGTTTAAATTGTACAATTAAATGAAAAGTAAATTTAAAAACAAACGATTATGTGTTCTACTTAGAAAAATGAAGAAAAAAAAAAGAGACAATACATATAGCATCTTAAAGATTAAGTAATAATGTAAACAATAATTTTTTGAGTGATGAAAGGTTTTTTTTTTTTTTTTTTTTCAAGTCTATAAATAAAAAAAATTATTTAAAAGATATAAGGAATTCCCAATCCATTTACATTTGAGTTGACCCATTTAGATAAGATTCAACACATAACTCCATCTCACAATGCATTGCTGTTAAGAGTCTCGACCATAGGTACGATGCAGACCATATCCCTCCTGAATTTACACAACCAAACAAGAGAAGGTTTGGACATTGGTCTATTTTCCTTATGTACATGTATGTTTTTTATTCTAAGAATGATCAAGAGAACAGGTTGATATGTTTATCTATTATTGTAGATTTTTGTTGGATTCTCTACAAATTGCAAATCACCTTACTAGAGTTTGGACATCGGAATATTAAAATTAAAAATAGGTTTAAAAGTAAATAATTATGTGTTCTACTTAAAATGATGACAAAAGGAAAATGGGACCACAAATATTGCATTTCGGGGATAAAAATAATGTATACAACAATTTTTTGTGTGATAAAATTTTGGATATATTAATGTATAAGATTGTGAAAAATTATGTACCAAAAAAAAAAGAGATTGTGAAAAATTAAGTAATTCTAATAAAAAGTAAAATAATACACAACTTCTTGAAGATAAAACTAATGTAAGAAGCTAACTTTTGGGTGATGAAAATTAGGATATTAGTATATTTGTTTCCGTACTTATAGTTGTTTTTCATTTCAAGGATGATCAAGAGGTTTGATTTGGTTGATTGTTAAAGCAAGATAGCAACAATATAATACAATTGTGATTAATGGAATCGAGATTGAAAGCAAATTTTTTTGTTAGATTTTGAACTAATTTCAAATTGATCTACCTTGTACAATAAAATGAAAAGGAAGTTTTAAAAACAAACAATTTTGTGTCCTACTTAAAAAGATGACCAAAGAAAAAAAATGAGACAATACACGCAACATCATAGAGGTAAAGTAATGCAAACAACACATTCATTAGATTATAGCGTGTTGCTTTTAGAGAGCCCCCACCATAAATAGGATGCAGAACATATCCTCCATGAATTTACCCAACCGAGCAAGGAGGTTTGGGTGATGGAAATTTGGACATTGGTCTATTGTTTTTGTACTAATTTTTTTTTCCCATAAGGATGATCAAGAGAACAGGTTGATAATTCTATCTGTTATTGTAGATTTTCTTTGGATTCTTTACCAATTACAATTGCCTTATTGGAGTTTGGATATTGAACTATTAAGATTAAAAATAGTTTTTTTTTTCTTTAATAAGAAATAG